TTTTACAGTTTCTGGCTTTGATGAATGATTTTGGCATTTTTTTATTTTCAAAAGCTGGCATGCCTTTCAAACCTGTCAGCGTGTTTTGGGGTTCAGAGAGTTGATGGAGTTGCATCCAGAATTTCATCCTGTGTGGGTCAGACAGGGCTAAAGAGTGAAGCTTTTCCCCATTGTCTTACTGTGTTTTTATTGTGAACACTTTTCAATTTAGCAAATTAATATTGCCCGCTCAGGCATTAAGGAAAAAAAAGAGAAAAACAAACCCTGACAAACTACAGTAATTACAACGTGCGTAGCTATTCAACAAAATGAATGGATAAATGCACTTTGATTTTCTTCAAAGTACGCAAAAAATTAATTAAAATCTATAGTTTGAATGGGAAATACTATATTTCAGATCCTAATAACAAAAGCAATGGTGGAGATTTTTCAGACATAACCACCTCCAGGCTGAGTAAAATATTCTTATTTTGCTGAATACCTTGTGAATCCATAAGTTTTATTCTTGCTGAATGAAATGAAGCCCTCTTCTAAGCTCACCTGTGGTGCCTTAAGGGAACTGAAAACTTGGCCTTATAAAGTTATAACTGAACCTCGGCACAGGCCAAGTCCTTTGCTGATGGTTAAATTACAGCAGCTGCATTTCAGATAATGTTTACAGGAAGCTTTTGTACCGTGCTGTTACCTACAGCCAACAGCTTCTCGCCAGAGATCAAGACTGTCGGAGTGTTTTGTTAATTCCAGTATCTCATTAGTTAGGATGAGGGGGTGGAAATGGAACACTGTGTCTTCTCCAAGGACAGTGTGTGTGTGTTTGTGTGTTTGTGTGGGTCTGTGGGGGGGCTGATTGGGGTAACTCTGAACTCGCTACCCTTTATACACTCACACAGGACGTAGTGAGGGAAGCCAGACGTACAGTCAGAGCGAGCCAGAAGAGAAAAAAAGGTGGTGGAAGGGAGGGAGGAATATCACCACGCAGAAGACGGACGGAGCGGGAGAAGCTAACAGGAGGGACGCCGGCTGCTTCTGCTTCACCTCTCAGTGACAAGCAGGCCTTGAGATGGAAATTTCTCCGGAGCGGCAACAAGTCCTCGCTCTAACACTAACCATGCTCACAAACATGTCTTCCCCGACACGGTCCATATTCCAGAGCAGGTGATGGATGTGCATTGTGTGTCTTGCTGCGCTGCTTCGGCCCGCTCCGTCCCGCGTGCTGACACTGTTGAAATTCGCTCAGCTCCCCCTTCGCCTGCGAGGTATCACCTGACAGCAGTGTTTAAAAGCGGCTGCCAAAGGAGGCGGCGCGCTCGGGGGTTTCAGTGTGTATACCTTTGCGAGCATGATCCTGGTCTTCGCCACGTCGAGGGGAGTCGTGACGAACGCCGCCACCGCACCTACGAGAACACATGCATTTAGCAGAGTGCAAACATAAAAGGGCCCCCTTCTCTGTGCTCCCGGAACAATCTTTAAATATTAAAAACAAACCCATAAAAAAAAAAGGTGCAATTACTTAACCACACTTGCAGGATTAATTCAGCAATAAACAGCGGAACTCTTGGCCCTCCGCTCCATTAGGTACATAAAAATGATAATGCCCTCCGTTACGGACCCTTCCCCCCCTGTTTCCAGACCACAAAAAGCAGACAGACACACTTCTATTCCCTCCTACTGCCTTATTCAACCCACGCCTTCCCCTGAGCAACACACACATGCTGCCTTTTTCCAGCACACACAGGCATAAACTTGCATGAACACGAGAAATAAACTTCCCTCCAAGACTCTGGATGCTGGATGAGCAGCAGCAATCCAGAGGTGTTCCCCACTGAGCTGCAGTGTGTGTCGCTCTGCCACAAAACATAGCAACTGTTCTCAGTAAACATATCCACATGGGCCACTGAGGAGCATAAGTGAGCTAAAATATCAGGATGGTGCTGATTATAAGAGTGAACTTAAAATAGCTTTTTTTTCTGCCTTGTCGGGTGGATAACTTTAAAAATTCAACAGATACAGCCTTCCTCACTGTTTATAATCTCCTTGGATGGCAGCACAAAGGAGGAATCATCCTAATAAATCTGATGCATCGAGGTGCTCAAGGATCTAAATTTGGCTGGAAAAAAAAAAGCTATGTGACGGGAGACGCAAACGAGTCGGTGATGTAATCTTATCTCGGGCCTCGGCGGTTTTCGCAGGCGGTTCGCGCGGGGTCGAGTCCGCCATAAGTCAGTGCAGGGTACCAGTGGAGATATTTGGGATGATTAAACGCGCCTGTGTGAGCATTTCCAGTGTCAAGCAGATTATGTACGAGTGAAGGAGAGAGTGTGAAGCGCAATGTAAGGGGAAGTGACTGAAACTTGAGGATCCCTCTTGGACGGCCGCTTGGTCACGGAGGGATGTAAACTTGACTCCCACCCTGGACCCCACGGCCCCCTGAAGCCTCCACCCCACACCCGCCTCGCTGCTCCATCCCCCCCCCCATCCCTCTCAAGCCTCCACCTCCCTCGTGTCTCATATTGCCCATTCTTTTTCTCAAATAATCAATTTTCTCAATATGCTGGATATTCAGGCTGCCTGACTGCTCTGATTCAGATATTACACACATGGACGTGAGTAGCAACGTCTCCTAAAGGTCAAAAGATTCTAAATCGTATCATCTTACAGTAACTGCTTCATGTGCAATTAAAAACCCAACAGCTTGGATTTGCTATATTAAAAACGCAGGCCCCAGAGTAGGAACTCAATGCAAAAGTTCAAAGCAATTGCTGAGATTCAATGTTTTTTTTTTTCCCAACATTTTGTAGGTCTACCTTTATGCTGACGACACAATCTTCCTGTGTCGCACAAACTTCTGGAGAAATGTTCTACCATTCTCCAGAGACAGTTTTTTTTTTTAGCTGCTCTTCTCTGGATGGTCTTTTCCTTCTTTAGAAACTTTTGTGATTTTTGCAGTGGGTGTTATCGTGCTAATGGTGCCATCTCCAGAGGTCATCCTAGCCCCGTATCATCACACTCCCACCTCTGTGCTTCACTGTCAGGACGATGCATTCACTGGTACTTTGGAGCTCTGGTCAGGTTCAATGCTAAAGATAATGAGCTCCGTTTGAGCTCATCTAAGTTTATCTTATCTGACTAAAAAATTTTGCCCCGTTTTTCCTCGGGTTTTTTTTCTTTTTTTTTTTATCAAAGTTTCGTGCTGTGGAGGAGGCAGGGTTTTTTTAATGTGCAAATTATCTGTGGCGTAACTTTAGACGGACGACCACTGAAGCTCTGATTGGTGCTACTTTCTCGTTTTATACCTCCTCATTAGCGCTTGGCAGTTAGTGAATTACTGAATTTTCAATTCCTCTGGCATTTCTTTTCATGTGGAGCCATGACGCAGATATGCAGGCAGATAGGTCTAAAACTGAGAAAGTTCTGGCTTTCGCTGGTCATTACTTAGCCATGTTCAGACAGTCAGGCTGATTGGAAATCATAGGTGTATTCACTGTTGTTGCATTGAGTTTCCACTTTGGGGCCTGTTTTGCCAATATAATCATTCTTAAGTACTTGTTTGTGATAGATTATAAGACGATATGCTGCACTTTTCCCACTAATGCATAACGCAGTAATTGAGGTGTTGCAGTTTTAAATCATTTGACTTGTAAGTGATATTTTATGGTTGTATGTTCACATGTATTTCCTATTTATCCTACAGTAACCTTCACTAGCTTTCCTCCGCTGTCATCCTTATCTCTTTGATGTCTTTTTTCTATCTCCCTCTCCAACCTATTTTCTATCTTCTACTCGCTTTCTTGGACTCCAGGTATGGGTGGCACCGGGCCATGCCTCAGCTCCTCGGAGTGCCGTGTCCTTATCCCCTTTTTCTCTCCTTCACTTCCATCCTAATCTCAATATCACCCCAGAGCAGCTAACCTCAATCTTCCTGTCCTGTCTGGCAGCTGCAGCGCTGTAAGAGTTATGGACTGAAAGATATAAGCGTCCAACAAGTGCTCCACGGACTGTTCTTTTCCTGAAAAGTGTATTAGATTGTGGTTTTACATTTTCAGCGCAAAAAAAAGGTGAAGGGTGAAACGAGAGAGGATGCATTATTCATTCAGCGCTATGATTCTGGAAGCCGGACATGCTCCTGGGTCTGCATTATTCTCTGTGGTTACAGTGATTGTGTCGACCACCTGACAAATATCCATCACATTTTTTTTCCCTATTATTTCGACGGTATGCAAATACACCATAGATGTGTACGTGTTTGGGCTGTTGTTATTTGCTTGTGGACGTTTTGACATTTCCTTACTTTTACATCTATGTCGTGTCTGTATCAGTATCACCTGTTGTTGCTGAAACTATTCTATATTATCACAAAGCCAGGTTGACAAACAACTTATGAAATATACCATTCTACAACAATTCTACGATACCATTTCCAAAGCAACGTACATCTGACAGTAGATACAACAACATTATCACACTGTATGATTAAAAAAAAAGCTACAAAGAGGAAAAAAATGGCCAAACTATGTCTTCAACAGTGTCTTCAAAGATTCAAGCTGATTAGATCAAAGACTGAAGTTTGGAGGAGCTACACTGGGAATCCTGTCATTTTGCCAAATTTGATGATTCAGTAAAAAAACAGGATGGTTGAGATGAGTAAGATTTCAGTCCGACTTGATCCCAAACTGCTCTAACATCATGTGAATGTAGGCCCCGATAGCCTCATGAGTATATGGTGGGTGGAATTTTTGGAGCCAGGCGCCATCGTTAGATCAACAACATGATATTGTCAAAGAAACTTTTATTTTTTTGTGTAATTGGTGGGACTTTTATCCTATTTGTTGGAGTTTGCACTATTAAAAGTTTCTTCTGTTAACAGACAAACACCCCCTTCAGACCAACACAGTGATGGAGGTTAAGCCATCAGGGAAGACTGCTGGAAGCCATCAGTCTAGACTGCAGATTTTTGTCCAGCTGCCTGTCCCGCTCTTATCCAAGTTCTCGGCGAATCACACTTCATCTTGAACAAGCCTAATGACTGATCTGAGAGATGCTGCAGCTTGTATCCCAACAATAGTTACAACAACACTGAGGTTGGTGCCAGTAAAGCTCATTTTGTTGAACAGCTACAGAGTTCTGAGAAGAAGTTCCCTGTAGAACAAAGTCCTTTGATAGAAATGCACATACTTGTGTCTTTCAGTACTGTACACAAAAGAGGGATGTAACCTTTTAGTTTGTGGACTACTGTTTTGAAGCCCCTAATTTGGAGTTTGGCTGTCGCAATCTTTGTTTTTCTTACCCGGACATGATTAGCGAGGGGTAGATCTGAAGACACGCCCATATGGTTGCGACTCATCAACCACAAGGTAGCCCCGCCCTAAAACGTATCCAGGTTTATTGTCTATTTTATCCTGAATGAGACCATAATTTGAAAAATGAACATCACGCTGTATTGAAGGAGACTTAAAACTAGTGACTTAAATCATAAATTCATTAGGAAGATGTTCACCGAGATAACAAATAGAGTGAGAGGTAGGCTCATATTCTCATAGACTTCTATATAAATGGACTTCTTTTGGGAAACAGAGGAGCTGCCCCCTGGGGGCAACTAGATAAAATGCAGGTTTAAGCCACTCCCCTCACTGGCTTCTGTTTTCAGAGCCACAGTCTTCATCTTTTATATGGTAGCTGCTGGTATAAGGTAGCTTCAGAAGTGCCACATTTTAGTTTTGGTGACACGTGTATAATATATGTCCGGACTCTTAGTCACTATCCAGTCATTCAGCTGCTCACCCTCCAAGGCTCATGCCACTAACATGACTGTGGAGTGACCACCTGTGTCCACCTATTTTTAGTTATTTGACCAATTCATAATTTCAAATCCAGTACAAACATTGAAAAAACTGTTTCTTTCCTAAAGAGAAGAAGCACTTCTGGACTTTCTTGCAAATACTATTATTATTATTACATTTTGCTCCACATGTAGTTAATTATGGATAATAACAATAATCAAGTATTTGTGAAAATTAAACAACATCTCTATCCACAATAAGAATGATATTAAAACCTTTATCTCAAAGTGGAACTCCGTCCACTAAAACACAAAATCAGCTACGCTCAATATAATTTCACGAGCTGATAATGCTTTCTCTGAAGCCTCCGGCCTTTATCTAATATATATCTGTTGTGTTTCATAGTCTGATTTAATTCCCTCTTGTTACTGTCTTTTCCTTTCCCTTAGTCATCTTGTTTTCAGTCCACTCCCTTCCCCTCTTTCACTCCTTTCCTGTGCCTTTCTCTCTCTCTCTCCCTCTTTCTTAAACCGCTTCAGGCTCCAGTGCTCAGGAGGTCGCACAGCTGCAGGGGCCCAAACCCAGAAACTGGCCCCTCTCATCCCTCCTCTGGTTCCCCCCTGGTTGTCCGTCTATCCCCCTGATACTCATCCGGGCGAAGACAGAACCATAAAGTCTGCTACGGTGTTCACTGAGCTGAAGGCCTTGAGAACTGTGATAATGAGACTCAAAACAGTAGAGGATCACCGCACTGAGGATCGCCGGTTTAATGCTGCTCGGTAACGCTGTTTGAGAAAAAAAGACTCACTCGTTCTCATTTTCTCCTCAGCTGAACTCGTGTTGTGCAGGATCTGGTGCGCAGGTGTAGGACAGGATTTGCCTGCTGAGCTCACCTTTGTGGAATCCTGCAAGAATGCGGCTTTGGGTAAACTCGTCCTGCCCTCCTGGCCATCTATTCACCTATCCACCATCTATCTATCCATCTAGCCATCCATTCCTCCCTCCCACTCCCACCCCCTTTTTTTTTTTCTCCCCCCCTCCATCCTCCCTCTCCGCCTCTTTCCCAAAGCAGCATATAATCCCCTGCACCTGCAAAAGCTCCGCACACTGCTGCCTGCCAAGAGTAGAGCGTGTGACCTTGCCTCCACGACCACAGACTCTGGGAGAAAGAGAGAAATGTCGAGAGAGAAAAAGAAAGAAAGGGTTGTAGATAGAGGAGGATGATGAAAGAGCAAGAAAAACGGAGAAAGAAGGGGAGAGAGAGAGAGAGAGAAGAGTGTAGTTAGTGGAGATATCAGACACATTGAAAACACATTGTGAACCTTGGTCTGGTCTGGGGCTCAGAGCCCACGGCTGGGAAATGGGCTGTCCGGCTATTTTTGTGTTGCCGTTTCTCCCCAGTGATGTCATACTACTTGTTTCCCAAGAACCAGGACCAGAGGGAGGCAAGAGAATATGTTGTAGCGCTCCCACTCCATCATGCTAAAACTTTACACACTTGTCTAGAGGCCATCATGTTGTAGTGCAGGAGGTCGTCACTGGCTCGCATTTCAAAGGCACGTATCAACACCTTGTTATAAATGTGAATAGTTATATTTAGCAGCATGAGAAAATACAAATTCATTAGCAGTCATATAAATACGCCAGTCAGGGCACAGCCACTTTTCCGACAAAACGAATGAATTAAATTGTGCTTCTTATGCTCTGAAGCTGAGCATCGTGTTTCCTTCTTATTTCCTTCAGGTGAAGCAGAAAAAGTAAATTTAGCCACATGCATCTTACTAGGAGTCATAAGTGAAGCTAGTTTTCATGCAGATATTTGAGCCTTGCTAAAAAAAAAAGAAAGACACAAATTAAACAAAAATAAAGCATCATTTGAAAAAACACTTGAGAGTTTACAGTCGTGCAAGTAGCACCCTGAGGCTGTGCTCCGAGTTAAATGTTGATTATTTTTGCATTATACATTGGCAATTTAGAGGGAGAAGAAATCACTCAAGATAAAAATGATCACGATACGTTGCCCACGATAATGGTGGAGTCACGATACAGCAAATCTACCATACAAGACAGTCTATAATACATAGCGATATGTGTTCAGTTAAATGTCTGTTTAGCTTTGCTTTGCCGTGTTGACTGGCGGCCTGTGCAGCTTGTCAGTTTTGCATTCTTTACCCCAAGAACTTTTTTAACTTCACCTCCATTTATTTGATATGTGCCACCATGAGGAGTTATTCAGTAGTCACTCTGGTAAGTCAAACTGGTGGTTTGTTTTAATAAAAATGTCAATATGTTCCACCACTGTATTAATAATGTATTACAAGAGGAAGTGGTATATTGTCATATTTTTATTATTTTGTCCCATCCCAGATGCTAAGTTGCATTAAACATATAGCTGAAGCTGACATGATTAGTTTCCATGGGTTTCAGGAGTGAACAAAATTCAATTACAAGTTAATGGATTACAAAAGTTATTGGATACACTGTCTGTGAATGAATGAATGTGCAAAATTTCATGCCATTTTATTATTAACTTTTTTTTTTTTTGCTTGACACGCTTTACTTTAATGGCAATATATAGATTGAAAAATGTGTGCAAACCTTTGTGCTGATAACATATCACACATATAGAACATAAACACATAACGATTATGCAGTTTTACAGGTAAAGCTGCACAGATTTGAACCAAAAACAAAGTTAAACACAGAATTCTATCAGCTGCACATAGTTTATAGCAGCAGCAGTAGTTCAAATTATACAGTTAATCAGGACAAATGTGTATCTAAACTTCTTGCTGTGCCTGGAAACCCTGACATTTCAGGGCTGCCAGTCCAAATACAACCGGCTACTGAGTGAAACCACCTGATGTTTTTGTTTTGAGACTGAACTCAGGATGGGAAGGGAGGCTGTCTCTTCTTCTCCCCCCACCAGTTTCGGCGAAGGGATGAGGAGCCCGACTATGCAAGGTTAGTCTCTGCATAAAATGCGTGTGGACAGCTGGGCCGCCTCGGGCGCTGCGAGGTATGATTACTTCTCAGGGAGAGCAATTGAGCAACAGCATGGAGCGATTACTAATATTTTCTTTGTCCATTCCCCCCCCCCACCTCCACTTCGCGAGTTTAATCTGTTGCATGTTATCTCATTCTCCTCCGATCCCCACACGCATATGTGGACGTCGCAAAAAAAAAAACTAACAAGTAAACACGGAAGAAGAAAAAGCCGAGCGGCAGACAGCGCGTACGAGCTCAGGATGTGTCATGTGTGTTCCATTAGAGGGCAGATTAAAACGGAGATTTTGTTTTCCACATCAAAGGCCTCACGCTGGGGGATTCCTCTGTTTCTCTCCCTTTCTGACTCTCTCCCTCCCTTATTCCCCATTTCATGAATAAATAATAAGGAGTAAACCTGGGAAAACAAACTTTCTGACCTGTGAACCCTCGTGTCAGGGTCAGACGTTGCACCTGGATGACTTCCCACAGGAAGGAGGCGGTGGGGTTTGTGCGAAGGGATTGCAAATGTATCTCACTTGAGTTCCCATCATGCCTTTGACTCAAAAAAATTCCTTGGATTTTTTATTTTTTTTGTGGCTCTCTGTTGGTGTTCAATCATAAACCTTAAAGTGTTACACCCTCCTGTTTGGCTAATGTTATTTTTGAGGTCAGAACAGATGGATGTAAACTGTCAGTTTTGCTCTGCAGTCACAACAACTGAGGGGAAACCGCAATATTGTGAAATTAATGTGTGAAAGAACTGCGAGAAATATTCACATGGATATCAAAGCGTGGCGCAAAAAGGCTTTAAATCTCTGTGCAGTGACCATACAGTGTGTAAATTATCTCATCATTTAGGGGGGTGGAAAAAAAACCCCAACTTCTTTTGCTTGAAATATGCCTCTCCGTGACATCCCAGAATTTCAAGGACCAGCTGAAATTACTGCATTCTACAAAAGGACTCAGCTGCTTGCTCCTCTCTCCTAAAAGGCCCCGGGTTGGTTGGTTGGTCGGTTGGTTTTTCTTCTTTTCTCCTTCTCCGTTTCTCTCTCTGACAGCTGTGTTGGCTCGGTGTGAAATATATAAAAAAAAAAGGCCATAACGCAGCACATTACTATCCCACAAAGCAGATGGGAGATCATACCACACACATGCACTCTCTGAAATTCCTTCACTCTGGCATTTTTCAAACTAAATCACATTATTTTTGTTTGAGAAAGTCTCTGAACATCTTGGTGGTCACTCTAAAGGAATGGCAGTAAAAAAAAATTAAAAGAAAAAAGCCGTTTGCTCGCGAGTTGTAGTTGCTTTTTCTTTTGCCCCCATGGCTCGTCTGACGTTTTAAGAGTTTAAGTGAAGCCTCATTAGTTTTTAGGAGAGGAGAGGAGAGGAGAGGAGAGGAGAGGAGAGGA